TGAAATTTTCCTTAATTGTTTTCCCGTCAATTGTAGTCTTTCTAAATTATTTTGCGCCAATGGTTGTTATCTTACTACCAGCTTTGTTTATGCAGGCTCGTGTTGAGCCGCCTCAAGCAGAACCGCAAGATCGCGACAGCGACACACAACATCTACGCGTACCGCATCGTGCTGCCGGACGCCGTCATGGCGCAGGACTGTGAGGACGACGGCGAAACTAAAGCTGGATCTCGTATGCTGCACCTCATGGCGGTAAGCAACATAACGATGTTGGAGCATGATTATTCCTCATGATGAACTCAATGGCGGGAAGTCAATTTAAATACTCTGAAGTGTAATGAATTGTTACTCTTTTCCTTAGATAACATCACCCCTCATCAATACTAAAGGTGCAGTAACGAGAGTTACCTGCACCTAAATATGGTCTAAATATAAATATATGCAATACTGCACCAGGTGTTGCCCCTAAAGGTGTAGTAACGAGAGTTACCGCACTATAGGCTCATGAGTTACCCTCTCGTTGCGTAAAAGGTTTCTACTCGTAACCTACTCGTGCCCTTCCGCAGGTACTGGATGTGGTGAACGTTTTGGTGGTGGTGACGCGCTGGTATGGCGGCTGCCACATCGGTCCTGACAGATTCAAACACATCAATGCCGCCACGAGGTCCATATTGGAAATATGCGGCTTCTTAGACGACGCCCAGGGATCCAGTAAAAAGAAGCAAATAAGTACGCGTAAAACCAAATGAAACGCGATGTTGTGTTTATCCTAGAGGACTAAACTGAGAATATCATTTGAAAAGAACTGTAGAACTGGTTTATATAAACTAACTTTAATTGGTGTGCATTGTGATATAAATGCGGAGCATCAGGTTATTTAGTTCAATTATCGATTCTTGCGGTTTTGACGATGAAGTTTAACTTTATGCGCTTGGGTGGAGGCTCTCCCAAATTTGACGTGAAGAAATTTTGGAATTATGTCGTTGAATGGGAGTTTATCAGTCGGTTTTTTATCTAAATTTTTAAAATTCATTTTACTTGGATCAATACTGTGATTGCACAAAGCTGAAGGAAGTTTCTTCTAAGGATTCGATCAGCCTCGCTAAGTAATTTATTGAGTTCCTTTTGGCAAGCTAAAGCCTAATTTAATACTGAATACGTATATATCAATATATTGCAATCTTTCTCCACAAGATAGATTTGTTATTTACTAGCTCAGCTACATCGGTGAAATCGAATTCTAAATTGATTTTTTACCCTAATTTTACTTTTTACCAGACATAGAGCTTAACGTCAGTTTTTTCCAATGCTAATTATATGGCTCTGATAGAAATTATTTTCCGTTATTTCCGCTGTTTCAAGTGAAATATTAGAGTGGAATTTTAAACACGTGGATTTGAGTGAAGTATTTGTGCCTTGCAACATTCTGCAAAAAATGTATATTCTGTCAGGGCTCGCATCTAGTGTATTGATTGCCTCATGATCGCTTATATTTTACAAACCATATCATATATTTTTCTTATGAATAAGTATAATCTAACACGTCTTTCAATTAACGTATAAAGTTGATCACTTTTTAGATTGTTTAATTCTGCCTCCTTAGTTTTCCGCGTTATTTATGCTTTTTAGGGAATATTCGATATGGAAAAAAGTGTTGAATGTAGAAGTGAATGTTGCAGCAGCGGCGGTGCTGCAGTAGTGATGTTCCGATAAGTTGTTAAATCAATGCTGTTTACTAATAATTTTATCCCCAATACGAACTTATTCGATGATCATACCTTCTATGGGAGTACCAGAATTCATTAGAAGCATAGAAGTACCGTAATTCAGTGTGAATACTTCTCGAGGGCTCCTGATCCTTTTCACCTGCCCTCCTTGTCACTTCGTCTCTTTGAGATGCTAACGCTGCTTCTTTCGAGCCAGCTTCAGCGGGTTGGACATCTGAGACCTTCCGCCCCTTGTGGGTGATGAATAATTGAGACCTTCCAACTCTATGGTGATGTTCATCTTGACTTTCGGTGCGAGATAGCTAAATAGCTGAAGCGCTGGTAAACATTTGGCCACTAAACTAACTGAATTCATTCAATGTAGTGTACAACTGTACATGAATACAGTTTATTCATCGGAGTGTTCATGTTCAATAGCTTTCTGAATTGAAATGATTCATGATAATGATTCACTTTTCAGGTTAGAATTTATTCGCTTGAATTTATTATTTAATAAATTATAGCCTTAATTCCCATGAAACAGTTATAAGGTTTTATCACTTGTAATTTTTAATAAATGTATATCTGCTGCGTTTCTCGGTATAATTGACGAGGAGCAATTCAGTTTTTTTCTCTGGTTCCCGTCGATTGAATATTTCCCTAATTGTTTTCCCGTTACTTGTAGTCTTCCAAAATTGTGAAACATGTGGAACAGCCTCCCTGAAGATATTGTTGACGCTCCGAGTATGAACGCGTTCATGAACAGACTATACAAGGCCATGCATGAGCATATGTTCAGTCTTAAAATGCCTCGGATCCTACGGAACAACTGAAATCTAGAAGCGATTTTAAATCTACCGTCCGTTGAAAAGATTTGATCAAGAGGCCAGTCTAGACAAGAAAAGTACAAGAATCGGCGACAGGCCTATCCAGGCCTATTCTTCAATGCCGAAGATACTATACTATACTAAAATTATTTTGCCGCAAATGGTTATTTTTGATATAGAACAGAATAGAAGTGTCGGCGTTGCAGAAATAGGCCCATGGCCACAGCGAGTTAAGAAAAGCGAGTTAAGAAAATTATAAAGTAAAGTTAAGGTAAAATTAATTTACCATGTAGGGTTTCCGAATTTGTTGCGAACGATAAAGGCTTCATAACGCCATAAATAGATCATTATTATTAGTATAATAAGTGTTATAGTTTGATCTTGAACTGGAGTTTAATTCAAAGCTTACGTTTAATAGTTTAAAACTGTAGTAATTCGAGTGCCTTGTCGAATAAATTATTCGACCAGAGCGTGCTATCGTGCATCGATTAAGGACTAGAATGGTGAATAGATAAAAAATATGAAGCTATTTTCATCGAAGCGAAATTTAAAGGTATTCTCCTATGAAAATGTTTCAACCTGTCACATTCGCGTACTTGCTAAAAGTTCCATCGTATTAGCTCTTAACTTCAGCCTTAAAGATAAATTTCACTCATATATCCGATATCAAGAACTTTTAAGACCGCTGTAAAATTCAAAAGATGAATGCGGTGAGCTGGGTAACAAACTTGCAATCGGAAACACATGCTCATGTAAATGCTTTGATGGTCTGATAGATGCGTTTGAAATATACTTGACCTGTCGACCTGTTAAAACCACGAGTAGTTTTTTAGTTACGCTGGGACGCTGAACTACGAAACGACCACCCCTGGTTTATAGACCATGAAGCATGCATCCATATAATGACCATATGAGTGATATGGCGGATAGGGTACATACTAGAACACAAAGGTCTGGCAGATGCATGCATCCCAATATCATTGGGATCTGGATAGGGTGCATCCCTAAAATATAGTTATCTGATGGATGGGGTTCATCCCTAGAGCATAGTTATCTGATGGATGGGGTTCATCCCTAGAATATAGGGATCTGACAGATGAAGTAGTTGACGTTTCCGCAGTTTTCGTGTTTCCAC